TCACAGTTTTGCCCAATTCATCTATCAAAATCTATTATTTTATGCTTCCAATTATAGTGATTACAATGCCTGCAGGGATTCAGTCTTTTGTGTAATTATTTTCTTCATTAATATTAGTTCGCTTACATAACATTGATGAGTCCCTGATTCCGATTCATAATTAGTTTCCTTCAAATTTGTGGCATGCTGACCTCTTCCTGTATTGTAAATATTGATTGTAAATTAATTATTTCGCATGTCTGCCATTTTCTGACTTTGACAATATCACCATCACTAGTTTTTATGGGATCTACATCACCTGTGGTCACTCTTTTTGATCTGGTATAATGTCACAAAATTATGTTGACTTTATTTTTTTTGTATTTTTGCATGTTATATTTCTTTAAGTTTTATATTGTCTTACCTCTTCAGTTGTCAACAACGATAATTTCTAGTAAGTAAAGGGCTTGAACTTTTAGGCTCTATATCACTTTAAATCTTTATTTTTGAGTATCTCCCACTAACATTCTAACATTTCACCCACTAACTAATTAACCCAATTTTCTATGGATAATCATGGTCTTCTCTTTAAAGCAACTCTTACCTACTTCTTGAATCTTAGCAACCATACCACATTACTCCCTTCATTTAGTTACCTCACACAGCAATTAATATTAGATAAAAAAGTTAACATCACTAGGCTCACTAAATCTGGATCAATAATCATTACTAAATTTAACAGGATCTGCCACCTTCCTAATTCTGAGACTAATGTTGCAGAAACCGGCCTGGTCACACTGAAGAAACTAAACCAGCCCAGACAAGAAATAAAACTTGGAGCTTTTGCTTTGGGGCAGACACTCGATAGACTGATACACTAAGCCATCAGGAAAGCTGGCTGCAAGAGATTTCTAAAAATTGAAAGGGCTTACTCAAACTAAATCCATTAATCACACAAAAAAGAACATTTTAATATCCTTTATCTGCTTCTACAGATCTACTATAGCTGATTTTCAATCAGGAATCTGTACAATTTTATTAATTCAGATTTGGCTAGCCAAAAGGCTACTTTTGCTTATAGCTGGAATATTTCATTTAAATAGAAGATACATATTTCCTGCATTGTCAGTAGGATTCCAAAAAGAAAATTGACATGGGAAATTGTCACACTGTGGGGATTTAATTTGGAATTTAAAATAAAATGCAATTTGATTGCCTTTTCAAGTGTGGCTTATGCAGTTTCCACAGAGCTATTTAATACTAGGATAAATAAAGTGGCAGGGAGGAAAAAAAAAGTCACTATATATCTAAAATTAATACCACAAATTGATAAAGTCCTTCCCTGAAAAACAACATATGCACACAGAAGATTTTTCTACTCCTGGTCTGGTCTCAGCCTGTGAAACATGTCCAACTTACAGAGTATATCTTGTTCATTGAAGCAGACATCAGAGATCAGCACAGGTCAACTGGCAAAAAACTTTTCATCCTATGTGCATGTAATGTAACACCTTTTGGTGTATTGTTTGTTCATGTTGAAGAGATTTTTTATTTTGTATGTATGGGGATCTGCAAATGCTTTCAGGAAGCCCTTTGTCTAAACTTTGCCACCCAAAAGCAAACTATACTATCACTGCGGGATTGTATAGAAAAGCAGAAATAAGGTGCTGGTAACAAGATTGAAAGAATTCTGTAAACATTTGTGGATCGCTCTTATGGTTTTCAGTTTGAAAACACGCACACAAATCAAAGTCAGAAGTCTAATTTTAAAAACCCAGATATATTTAAATTAAAAATTCACTTATTTCCATAGATTTCACTTTTTAAAAAATGCTCTCTTCCTCAATGCAGATGCATATCAACCTTAACAGTTGTCAAAGCACCCATCAAAATTTGACTGAACATGGCAGATGAAAAACATGATCATCTACCCCTCACAGGGCAAACAAGAATTACAAAATCATTTTCTCAAAAAGTTGAGCAATATTGTTGCTTTAACTTCACATTCATTTAACACATTATTGGTAAAATACTGCAGTGCCTAATTTTACCCTTGTGCTTACCTATGTGGCAACAATTACTGTCTGTCAATATGTACTTTAATGTTTTGGGATATCCTGAGGACAAGAACGATGGTCAAAAGTTGGCAAATACAGTATAAACTGGGGAAAATGTAAAGCTTTTACTTTCACAGAAACATAGAATTCCTATGGTGTGGAAGTAGGCCATTGAGTCCACACCAACCCTCTGAAGAGCATCCCACCCAAACCCACCCTCTACCATATCGCTGTAACCCTGCATTTCCGATGGCTAACTCACCTAGCCTGCACATCCTTGGAAACTATGGGCAATTTAGCATGGCCAATCCACCTAAACTGCACATCTTTCGACTGTGGCAGGAAACATACGCAGACACATGGCGAATGCGCAAACTCCTCACAGACAATCGTCCCAGGTTGAAATCAAACCTAGGTAACTGGCACTGTAAGGCAGCAGTGCTAACTATTGAGCCACATGCCAACTCACAGAAGAACAGTATTATGTAAACACAGAAAAACTGCAAAAAGCTGCATGCCAAAGGGACTTGAGGGCAAATGTGCATGAAAGACAATTAGCACACAGGTGCAGCAGGTAATCAGGAAGGCTAATGGAATGTTGGCAATGGCCAGCACTATGGCTCAGTGGTTAGCACTGCTGCCTAACAGCACCGGGGACCTGGGTTCAATTCCACCCTTGGGTGACTGTTTGGTCTACGGCCATACTAGTCTAAAAATGCCCAAACTTGTCTGATCTCAGAAGCTAAACAGACTTCATGCCTGGTTAGTACTTGGCTGGTAGACCACCTGGGAATACCATGTGCAGTAAGTTTGACAGGCCTTCTTACGGTGCAATGGCAGTGTCCCTAACCCTAGACCAGGAGGCCTGGGTTCAAGTCCCACTTGGTCCAGAGGTGTAAAAAAATCTCTCAACAGGCTGATTAGAAAAATAGGTGAATAAAAGAAAAATGCAATGCTGGCCTTTATTTCAAGGGGGTTGGAGTGAAAGAGTAGAAAATTCTTAGTGCATTTGTACATGGTAATGGTGAGACCACATCTGGAATACACTAAGTAGTTTAGTCCCCTTAAATAAAGGGGAAGTATTATTTTACTAGAGACTGTTCAGTGAAGGTTCACTAGGCTGTTCTCCAGTATGGAGGGATTGTATTACAAGCAAAGATAAAACAGACTGGGACTCTACTCATTGTGCTTTTTAAGAATGAGGGGCAATCTCATTGAAACACATAGCATTCTTACGGGGTTTGACACAGTAAATACTGACAGGATGTTTTCCTTCATGGGAGAGTCTAGATCCAGATAGTATAGTCTCAGAATTAAGGAGTACCAATTTAAGTCCGAGATGAGGGGGAATTTCTTCTTTCAGAGGATCGAGTATCTTTGGAACACCCACCATAGCTTTCTGTGGCAAGGCAAGTCCTTACACATATCTAAGGCTCAGACAGCTAGATTCTTGAGCAGAAGAGGAATCAAGGGTTTTGTGGAAAGGGAAGGAAAGAGAACATGAGAAATGTCAGTTCAGCTATGTTGCTATTGAATGGTGGAGCTGGCTCGAGGGACTGAATGGCCTATTCCTGTTCCTATGGTCTAAGGAATAGGAGTTGAAGTAGGCCATTTGGTCCTTTGAGCCTGCTCCACCATTCAATAACACCATGATTAACTTTCAAACTCATTTGCCCCTTCCTGCATTTTGTAAAGGTGCTGAGGAAATATAATTGTAATTACAGTCTGGTCTGATCAATCTCTCAGTTCATTCAGATCTGATCTAACAGTGTCAGACTGCTCCATTTCATGCAGTAGAAGCACAATAGAATCCATCAAGGAAAAAAAAAGTGCCCCATTGTCTAAGTATTCCAGTGATGACTTCTGGAATCTTTCAGTGTTTACTTTTCTTTCTTTTCCCACATTGCCCCCACCAACCCCCCAACCCCCCTCACCCCCCAGTCTTATCTCACTATTTTCTGTTTTGTGTGGCTCAAGTGCCTCTGAGACCCTTATCATTCAATTCGATATCTTAATTACTTTTTCCATAAGGTCTACTGTCAAGAAGATGGAGGTGAAATTTATAGAACTAGAGAGGTTGTTAAAGCAACACAAACCAAGTTGGCTCAGACAGAGTGAGAGGGGATAAATGGATGGGCTGCAGGTGGGAAAAACAAACAGCTGCAAATCTTAGGACCTGAAGCCAGAGATAAAGGGAAGGATTGCATAAGTGAGCAGACTCTGGTTTGAGGGAAAACTGGGCTCAAGAGTGATTTTAAACAAAACTGCAGATGCAGGAAATTAGAACCAAAATTGGAAATTGTTGGAAAAACTCAGCAGTTCTACAGAAAGTTCACTGGAGCTGAAATGTTAACACTGCTTTCTCTCCACAGATGCTGCCTGAACTGCTGAGTTATTGCAGCAATTTCCAAGTTTGTTAATTTAGGAAAATGCTTTTAAACCCTTTCCCAGCAACTTACTGAAAAAAAACCAAATCATTCTCCTAATGCTTCTTTCCCCTGCAAGTACTTATTTTCTATTAAAATCAGGAAGAGTGAAATGAACATGTTGCAATGTCGGAACGAAGAGTGATTGTAAGGGATTTTATTGATCTCGTTAAAAATATAGCCAAACTTATCCTACAAAACTGCTTTTTGCGTAAACTGGAAGTGCAAGTACTATCTGCCCAAGGCATTTTTAAATTGTTCTCTAATTAAATGGACCTGCTTAAAGATGTCACAGGAGAATGTGGTTAATTGCTTCTATTTTAAAACAATGTACTAAGCATTAAAATCAACTGAATATTTAGCAGCCATCACTGTTGCTCTTGGGCAAAACCTTTTATGGTATTATTTCGGATTGATTCATTTTTGTTTTGTTTTGTTTTAAATCAGATTCCTAATTGTTCAATTTAGCATCTCCCAAGTTAACCAAAACACTGGCTTGGGACATCAGAACCAACCCTTTGCAGAAAAACAATATGAGAACCATCACACTTCATAGCTTTATTTAAAACTGTTAACAGGTCACAAACATATTTAACAATAAGTACAGGGACTCCAACTAAAAGCAAAAAAAGTGACATATCTAATCAACGTACAACTGTGCCAACAGCAGTGTAGCATGAATATTTAACAAATGCATTGTACAACTTAAATTAGTTATCCATCATTATCAATTAAACTTATATATTCATGGCTTGCATCGGATAAGGTTGCTGTCTGGATGATTTAAAGTTGATTGTCACATTTTCATATTGTGACTTTTCTATTTTAAATTCCTGCGTCCACACTTAGTGAAAACTCTGTATGAAAATACATTATGCCAGTTACTCAATTATGGATAACTCAAAAGCAATTTTATAAATGTACAATTTCTTGCTCTGCCACTGTCTAATTTTTTCTTCAGGTTGAGGTTTCTAGCTTACACTTTCAACACTTTGGCTTCCAGCAAATCAACAGCCTCATCTCCTATCCCTGTTACTTCCGTGCAACATTGAGAGTAAGGTCATGAAAGATGAACTAGTTATTTTAAGAACACAGTATCTATGTATCATGCCTGTGCATTTGCTTGCAAAAGTATGTTTTATACTTGCATTCAATTGGCCAAAATATTTAATCATGGAAAAGTAAATTACAAGCAAAACACTAATTACAGAAATCAAAGGGTGACAAGTCCTACTTTCCACATCGAGGGAGACAGAGGCAAGAAGAAAATCAACAATAAGCAAACCTTAATGACATATAAAAATGTCAAATCATGCATGAACAATCAGCAATATTTACCAATAAAAAGAAAGCCAATGAAATATACACAAAATTTGTGTATATTTTTAGCTCTAATTTTGTTTTGTCTTCTAGGCTGAGGATTTATCATTGGGCATAAGATCTATAACAATAAAATTAAAAGAAAGGTTAAAACTTTAAATAAAAGATTCAATTTAGTTATACTGAACAAAAATATGTAACAATGTTTTCCAAGAATTCCTAACCACATGCTCCTAATTTGCATTTATGCATGTCCTGCCATTTTAAAGATAGAGAACGTCTGACAGTGAAACTGCTGGTTCTTTAGTGCAGATGTTGTTGGCTTAGCAACACATGCACACTGATGAAATTAGCTCCAGTACATGAGCTGATGACCCCGTGCTGACAAGGGATGCCAAACATACTTCTCAGATGAACAAGGTGGAATCTAATCAGTCTTTCACCTGCCTAGCATATGTTGTCCAGCCTCAACACTGTAGACGTGTGTGCAGAGGACGAATGCTTGTTATGCTGTCAGCTTGATGTTATCTGTCAGGTTACTGCTGGTCCACACACTGTTATTCAGCCTGGGAATAACAGCAGCAGCTTTTGCAACAAATGTGTTGATTTTGTCATTATCTGGCAGATTACTGTTGATTGCAGCAACTAGATATGCATAGCTGTCTACAACCTCAAGGGTTAAATTGTTGATTATGTTAGATAGTAGCATATCAGATGGTGGCAACACTCTGAACCATGACATTTATCTTCCTGATGCTGATGGTCAAACCAATCTCTTTACAGATATGAGCCATCCATTTGCTGCTGAAGGTGTTTGTCCATGTGAAATGCTAGTATGAAATTATAAACACAGCAAATCTCCAATTAATGTCTTAGCACACCTTTGTCTTGGAACTGAGGCAAGCTTTCCTTCAGTTCTTATAAGTAGATCAACATAATATGCTTAAGTTAAAGAACAGCAATGGCACTTCACAGGTAAATGCAAGGAAAAAGAACACAGCAATAAAGTTAAAAATTATGAGTGATGAAAACCATGACAGAAGTGACAGATTTTGAGAAGGTTTTAAGGTGGTCAATCTGGGGTGAGGAGCAATGATGGTGGGTTTTTTTTGGGGGTGGGAGGTGGGGCAGTAGAGACCCACAAGGACATTTAAAGGATATATCTTCAATACATCGCAAGGTGAGGAGGCATTATAGGTCAGTGAAAACAGTACTGACAAGTACAGAAAACTTAGGATGCAAGAGATGCATGCAATAACTATTTGTCAAGCTTGAGTTCATGGAAGACAAATAGAAGTAACTCAGCAAAAAAAAACTCGAGAGCGATGCATTATGAAGACAGTAGTCACAACAGCTCTTATACATATCAAGTCTGCAATTCTGATTGAACTTAAACAACAGCTGGGAGGAGGAGGAAACATCAATGCCAACAAAGCAAAGGTTGCGAGTGAAGCCAAAACTGATGATTTTGTCTTGACGCTAAGAAAGTGGAAAGTTATGATTCATCAAAGATTGCATATCAGAATTTTATAGCGATGAGGCAAATCAAGAGATGTAAAGGAGTTGTTTACTTTAATACACAGAAGCAAAACGTAACATATAGACAAGCAAAAAGATCAAACGGTCCAACAAACCTTGTATATAGCTTTTTAAGGTAACTGCAGAAGTGCAGTTGTAAAATTAAAAGAAATCCTTCTTTTCAGTGATATGTTAGCTAAGCTCAGATATATTGAAATAGTTGAGCCAAGGCAGTTCCATGGAGCAGGACAACAATTCATTGTGATTAATTGTGGTGAAAGGCAAAAACTGGTTAGGTATTACTACTTTTAGGCAGTTAGTTTCTTTTTAAAATCCAGATCTTGATAAAAATGAGAGAAGAGAATTAAAAACATTTTGCTGACAATGACCATATCTGCGGTGTATATATTAATACAAGCATAAAGCTTGATTTGCCTGACAACTAAAAACAAATTTTTACAGAAGAAAAATCAAAAACGCATGTGATGCTAAATAATATTAGTATTTCTACAGGAAGCACGTATATATAATGCTTAAAAAAAACTGTAAATTCCTATCATGTTGGAGACCAAAAGACATACTTGTATTATTTTCAGCAAACAATTCGAAACATGAAGTATAAATCTCTGATTTTTCATTTAACTAATAAAACAACTCTCCTCGTACAGTCTAATCACAATTCAACAAATAACACAAAGTAATTCATATCCTTGAATCAATCAGGGATTAAGTGGGTTAATCTATATTAAACTAACCTTGCAAAATTTCTAATTTGCATAAAATGATACCCATAATTAGAGATGAATGTTAGCAACCACTAATAATGAAGCCATTAAATTTCTGTGACCCAATTTACTGGAATAGCAACATTCTGGCATTCAAAAAAATTTAACCATGCTTACACAATTTTAGTTACATAAGCTTGCAATATTAACAAGCTAGTTTGAATATCTGACAAAACCATCATTAATAAAGTGACTTATAACTCAACCTAAAGCAAAAATGTATCTACATGTTAATTTGCATATAGACAGCACTTGCATATATACCAAAGCTTCCGGTGTATCTACAGAGTAATATTACTTTTCCCCACAGGATGGAAAACTGAAACCTGGATGCAGCCTATGTACAGGAGCAGCTAAATGCACATCAATGCAACAACTGATTGCCATTTAATTCTAGCCATGAACAAGGAAGGATTTTTGTGCAGCATGTACCAATCAGAGATTAATATACAGCAGGTCTGTATTTCTATTCTTTTCAGGTTATTTCTGCTTAGCATTTAGTGAGAACAGAAAATGATGTAATTAATCTCCAAACTATCCCTTTGCTATCAAATATATGACCAACGAAAGCAGCATGACTTCCTGGGAAATCATTTTAATTGCAGTTCTAAACACATTTGAGTAATGTCAACTTTTTAAAATCATTGAAGACTGTGGATAAAAGGAAGAAACGTTTTCTTTTTTCCAGAACCTGACAGAATGCATAAACTTGCACATTAGAAGCAAGAGACAAATATAGAACATACACAGATTTTTCTAAAATGTTTTTGCCACATGATACACCACACATTTAGCTTCCACCCATATATAGAAGCAAGGTATTTGCAGAAAGGGAATGTCAAATGGCCAAAGTTCAAGAAAAGATCACATGGCTTTCTGGGGAAAACATGAATTGTAAATAAAATGGCAAGGGGTTTCATCCATTAATTATTCTGTGAAATTGAGTTTATACTATTGTTGGATGATTGGTATATTATTTACACTAATGTACTTTTAAATGGGATAATATGACTAAGCTTTGCAAAAGAACCTTGAGAGCTCAAATGCTTTTCTACTCTGGAAATTCAGGGTGGAATTTAAATTTCAATTTTCTTACTCAATAACTCTCTTATTCGAACATTATATGTACATTAACTACTAATAATCATTAGATATTTTCTATTCCAATTCTTAAATTTTTCACCTTGTGGACATATGCTTCCTCGTAAATTAGTTAGAAACAACTTCACAGATTTGCTCCGTTTCTTTGTAGGTCAGGCAGCATCTGTAGGGGGGAAAAAAAAAAGAAAAAAAGAGTTAACGTTCCAGTTATTCATTAATTCCAATGAAAGGCCATTAATCTGAAATTGTTAACACCGTTTCCTTCTCCACAGATGCTACCTGGTCTTCTATTTCAAGCATTTTCACTTGTAACTTCAGATTTCCAGCATCTGCAGTATTTTGCCTTTGTACAAAAAGCTCGCACTAACTTACCTCTGATTGGTGGTCAAAGCAAATAAAGTTGATAACCTGTGCAGCAGTCATAACTTGACAAATCAAATGTCATTGATATATAGTAAAAATCAAAGAGCAAGTGAAAACTGATTAATACCCAAATCAGATCAAAGGATCACATCTGCAGTAAGCAGGTGAGGCTCAAAGGCCTTTGGCTGAGCCATTAAGCTGGAGGCTGAGCTGCGTACTGCAAGGGATGAAGGAGGAAGAAAACTTACCAGGATGCAGTCACCTTTTGGGATAGGGTTGTCTGAATTGTTATAGAGTCAGGCACAGCAGGATGTGACCGCAAATAAAGCTGTGGAGATTATGATGATAGTGGAAGATTCTCAGCCTTGTGAATGACTAACATGTTTGAGGTTCATGCAGCTTGTGTGGATGAGAGTGGGGTCTGCAATGTAGATGAGTGAGTTGATCATGGCATCATGAAAACTGTGCATGTTTTGTGGGGGGTAGTAGTAGAACAGTAAATGGCAGGTGAAAATAGTTTAGTTGGGGATTAGACACAGGAGGCAATAGTAAAAATACAGAAGACCATCTGCTCAGGGCTGGACAGAAACATCAGTAGGACGAAAAGGATCCAGTTCCAATGGTCTGTGGGGTAGACATGTGTCTATGAATCACGGATAGGATAACGAAAGAATTTTACATAGGGATTGAGAACAGTGTCAAAATAAAAAAAAAGCAGAACCTCAAAAGATAATCTCTGGATTATCACCTGACCATAAACAAACTGGCATAGGTAAATAAAATTAGAGTGATGAATGCACGGCTCAAAAACGGGTGCAGGAGAAGTGGGTATTCATTCATGAGACCCCGGCACCAGTACAGGAAAAAAAAAGGGTGGTGTACTGTGCAGGCAGTGTTCACCTGATATATACTAGGCCAGTCAGTCTGGAGAGCCAGATAACTAGCGAGTGACAGAGACAGCTCTGAGCTGAGCCAATTGGTGGTGACGGGGCACCAGGGGGTGACATAGGAGAAAAAAAAAGTAGCAAATCATAGAAAACCAAGAGGAAACAGAGCATGGAAAGAGACAGAGAGAGTGAGGAGATGCATTTTGGGAGGACTAGCACTGCTATGGAATACATAATGTACAGTAGGACCCTGGGAATTACAGAGGACTGAAGGGTCTTCGGTGTGCATGTCCTTGGATCCTTGAAGGCCACCAGCACAGGTGGATCAGGTGGCTAAGACAATATTTCAGGTAAAAACCAAAAGAACTGCGGATGCTGTAAACCAGGAACAAAAACAAAGTTGCTGGAAAAGCTCAGCAGGTCTGGCAGCATCTGTGAAGGTGAAAACAGAGTTAACATTTCGGGTCCGGTGACCCTTCCTCAGAGTTCTGAGGAAGGGTCACTGGATCCGAAACATTAACTCTGTTTTCTCCTTCACAATATTTCAGGTACTAGACTTTATTAGTCAAGGCACTTAATACAAGTTCAAGGACTTCAACCATAGCTGGAATGCAGTACTATGCATTGTTCTGGTCAACTCATAATAAGAAGAATGTAAATAAAACAGAGGGGGATATTTCCTGTGCTTCAGCCATGAAGACAGACTAGATAGGCCGAGGCTGTTTTCCTTAGAGTCGAGAACGGAACTCGATTAAGATGTACAAAATTATGAGGGACACGGATAGGAAGAAATCTCTCTCCTTGGAAAAGGGATTAACAGCAGGGGCCATAAGCTCAAATTAAGGGGCAGGTTCTGGACATTACTGCCTGAAAAGCTGGTACAGATGAGAATCCTCATATTTAAGAACAATTTAGATGGACACCTGAAATGCCATAGCATACAAGGTCATGGGCCACGTGCTGAAAAATGGGACAAAAGCAGATAGGTGTTTGATGATAGGTGCCGATATGATGGGCCAAAGTATGTCTCTTCATTCTGTAAAACTCAACGTTGAAGGTTTTTGTATCTAAGTGTGCACAACATTCAGAGAAAACAGTTGAATTTAGCACAGATGGAAGTGAATAGGCTTGAGCTGATAGCCATTACAAAGAGATGTGCACAAGGTAACCGCGACTAGGAGCTGAACATTACAAAGTATTTGACGTTTTGTAAAGACAGGAAACTAGAGAAAGGTAGTGGGGTAGTTCTGTAAATTAAGGTGTTATTTCTACAGTATTGAGAGATGACCTTAGCTTGATAGAGCAAGCTGTAGAAATAGGCAAGTTAAGAGGGGGTTAAGTAGAAATGTGAAAGGCAGTATCAATCTAAAAGAAAAAGCAAATAATTACGCAAAGATAAGTGTCACGTCAGAAGTTTGGGTTCAAGATAAGAAATAGCAAAGACGGACTAGAAAATTAACAAAGACATAAAAATTATAGTACAAGAGAAAGCTGGCCGGAAATATATAAACAGATAATAAAAGAGTTTCTCCAAATATTTAAAGAGGAAAAGTTTAAAAAGTGAGTGTTGGTCCTATAAAAAGTCAGACTGAAGAACTCATTATTGAAACTAAGGAAATGGCCAATGAATTGAGTAGGTATTTTATATCAGTCTTCACTAGTGGATACAAGCAACATCCCAAACATGGCGATTAATCAGAAAATGGAAGGGAAGAGAAGAGCGAACTCTGGAAAAATCAATCACCTAAGAAGTGATATTGAGTAAATTGTTGGAGTTAAGGGCCAATGTATGCCTGAGCCCTGATGGACTTCATCCTAGGGCCTCAAAAGAAGTGACAAGTATGATAGTTGATGCATTAGTTGTAGTCGTCCAAAATTTTCAGTTTCCGGGATGGTCCCATTGGATTTCAAAAAGAGGAGGAAGACAGAAAACAGGAAACTACAGATCAGTTTGCTTAACATCTGTCATAGGGAAAATGTTAGAAGCTGTTAGAAAGAAAGTTGCAACAGGGTACTTGCAGAAGTTCGAGATAATTAGGCAGTGTCAACATAGTTTGGTGAAAGCAAAATCCTTGGTAGTAGTTGTTGTTCAGAATTATCTGTGGACAGAGTGGACTTGTTCCTTGGTAATGAATTGGCTAAAGTGAAAGTTATAACTTGACCTAAAATCTCAAAGTCTGAGAAAGGTTAAGGGACAGTTACAGAAAAAAAGTTTCTAAGCATTTTTCCACCATATAGTTGGCCAAGGGCAAAGAATAAACAGAGGTCAAAGTAATACTACATACCAATATCACACTAGCTGAAATTTTCCTTAATTAAGAATTAAGATGCTGGAATAGTTTGAAAACTTAAATGACAGATTGGATAAATCCTGCACAATGAATTAACTGAGTGAATGTACTTTTCTTCTGTTTTATGCCTCGTTAACCTTGTGATCAAACATTTAAAATTGGTATTCTCTCTCTTAAGGGAGGTGTGCAACAACATTTAAAAAAAAAATGTCCTTTTAGTCTATTTTCTACCCATGATACTTCTGCAGAGCTGGCTGTCTTAGCTTCTCAGAAGAAGGGTTCCGACCCGAAACATCAGCTGTCCTGCTCTTCTGTTGCTGTCTGGCCTGTTGTGTTCCTCTAGCTCCACACTGTTATCTCTGATTCCAGCATCTGCAGTTCTTGCTATCTATGGCTGTCTTAGCCATTTTATTTGTGAATGATTGAGTGTATTTAGGTTTGAAGGGATCTAGTTTGTTTGCATAACTACAGTTAATAATTGATTTTTCCACTTGTTAAAACACAAGTCTGTTTTTAAAAACAAAGATTTTTCCTTTGTTTATTGTTAAAACCTGATGTGAATTTCATTTTGTCACAGCTCACTGGGATAGTGGACTGGAAATCAAACTTCACTATTCCCACAGTCAAAGTTAAAAACTTTATCAAAGTTTGCAAAATTTCCCAAGACACCTGTCTTTTCAGATGTAGGTTGACAGAAAGCACGGACAAGGTTTCTGAACTTATCAAGAATTACTATTTATTACAAATAATAGATCATAGGTACAAGTGAACAACAATGAACTACTGACATATAACTCTACTAGTCAAAACTCTTAACTTCTTATAAAATTCTCCCTACATACACACACAGATAGAAAAGAAAATATTGGAGCCATGGTTCCTATCCCACAGGATGTGCACGTTTTGCTTGTCAAGACTTGCTGTCTGTTGAGCTCTCTTCCCCAGGCACATTCGAATTGCTTGCAGGGTGAACAGAGCGAGTGCTTCACAATGTGTAAAGTCACTCAGCTACAGATTAAAAGCCACAGTTTATAGCAACCTGCGAGGGAGGAAAAACTAGCTTTTATTCAGATTTTTTTTTCCCCTAGAGAGAGACAACACCTCCCCTTTCAGAGCTCTAAAGGCTTCTGGTCATACTGCTTACACCCACAAATTATTCAGCTACCTAGGAGCCAATCATACAGTTGTTGCCAGGTAGAAGGTCTTTCTCATCAACTAATCACCACTCTACAGACCAATTAGCTATCTGTTGCCAACTGAATCTCACTTGTACATGTTCTCTGGCAGGAGCTCATTTATAACTAACCTTCCTCCACAAGCAGTATAAGAGCAGTGACAATGAATTTCACTAACCTGCTAAGTGCAGCAATACTTTCCACAATCTTTGGGTTTTATAATTTCAGTTCACGATCAAAAATACAGAAAAATAAAAAGATACAGTCTTCACATTTGTCCTAGACGGCAGGCAAATTAACTATCCTGGCGATTCAATTGGCCATTTTTACATTTGTGACAGCTCAGAGTAGTGAGCCTTGACTACGGTGCTCTTATCAGGTGTGACAGATTGACAAAAGTATTCTGGAAAATGACAACATAAACTGTACTCAGGATTTCTTACAGCC